CATTGCACGCCCTCCACGGTCTAGTCCCTGCATGTCCCCCACAGTCCAACCATTGCACGCCCTCCATGGTCTAGTCCCTGCATCTCCCCCACAGTCCAACCATCACACGCCCTCCACAGTCCAGTCCCTGCATTTCCCCCACAGTCCATCCATCGCACGCCCTCCACAGTCCAGCCTCTGCATTTCCCCCACAGTCCAACCATCGCACGCCCTTTACCGGTCCAGCCCCTGCATCTTCTCCACAGTGCCACCATCGCACGCCCTCCACAGTGCAGCCCCTGCATCTCCTCCACATTCCAACCATCACATGCCCTCCACAGTGCAGCCCCTGCATCTCCCCCACAGTCCAACCATCGCACGCCCTCCACAGTCTAGGCCCCTGCCATGTGCCCCCCCCAAGTCTGACCTATGTACCCACACAGTTCAGTCCCTGCATTCCCACAACAGTCCAGTCTTTAAGACTGCTCCATAGTCTGGCCCCTGCATGCCATGTGCCCCCCACAGTCTGACCCCTATGTACCCCCACAGTCCAGTCTGTGGATTCTCACAACAGTCCAGTCTCTAAGACTCGTCCACAGTCTGGCCTGTGTGCCCCCCAGTCTGGCCCTTGTATACCTACCTTAGGCTCTTTCACACGGGCGTTCTGTATGTCCGTTTTTCATCTGTTTACGGCTAAAAAACGGACACCAATGTATTTCTATGGACTGGCGGATGTAAACTGATGAACATCTGTTTACATCCGTTAATGTCCGCATCTATTAACATCCTTTTTTTGAACAGAAGAAAACCCTATTCTTCTTCCGTAAAAAAAAAAACGAATGGATGAAAAACGGATGTAAGTGGACATACGGTCCGTTTTTGCATTGGTAAAGGATGTAAAAAAACAGATTTAAACCGATGAAAAATGATCCATTTTTTCATCAGAAAAAACGTGACTGAACTGATGAAAAAAAAAACAGAGCACCTATGTGAAAGGACGCTGAGGATCAGTTCACATCCATTTTTCTTCTTCAGTTTACATCTGTTTTTTTACATCCTTTACCAATGCAAAAATGGACCATGTAGCAATCGTACCCACAGAGATGGACACGGTCAACCATTTTGCTCCAACCTTCGCCTTGGCAAAGGATCATCCATCTTGTACAAACATATCTTTCCTCATCTTCCCCCCCTCTGAGATCCACAGTAACATGTGGTCGGTGTGTGTTGGAAGTGTCACAGGCCGGCCAGAGCACAGCAGCAAGCTCCGAGCTATAAAACCTCTCTGAGCGGGTTGCCGGGCGGTCTAAGAAACTGTACAATCTAGCACCTCGTAAAAGGATAACCCAAGCCTTCCCGAGTTCAAAGACATTCCAGGGGAGTCATAAACTCGATACCACTTTTAAAATCCATTTTCCCTCTGTTTCATATCTTGGAATTTGATAGACTTACATAAAAAACAGACATATTGTCAGATTGCTCACGAGAAGACAGACCGTTTGATATGTCATACTCCTTGGCTGGAATGTATAGGAGGAAAGCAGAAAATTACATCTCTTGAACCATTCAAAGTATGTATTTCATAGCTAACCGTTCTGCAGATGCGTCTGCATATTAATCTACCCGCGGGTGGAATGCTACTTGTGCCTTAGAAAAGTTATGAGTCAAAATATAAGCTAGGAGAGATTTTGGTTCTAGCTTGGGTCTCCGCCTAGACACCCCTCCCCAAATGAGGCATTGGTCCTTGGCTTCAGAGACACCCCCTGCTGGAGGACTACAAAATAGGCTGTCAGGCTTAAAGTGGAAGTTGAAGAATTCTCCCTTCACATCAGAAACAACTTAGGAGACGGTGCCCTTTTGCTCTGAAACTTGATCTGCTTAACCCAGGACTTTTGGCAAGTACTCTACCTCTCTAAACTTCTGTTACCTCTTTGCTGTGTTATTGCTCTCTGTATTTACATATATATATATTTGGTTACTTCTTTTTTTCTGTAAATATTTTTATTGCACCCTTTTGACCTTTTAGTTATAAATCTGTCTGAAAGTGTTGAACTGTTTCTATAGCTCTTTAATGCAACTTTCGAATTCCTGCCGCTGAAGAGCAATACTACATGGGTTTAACCCTCTGTATAACCTGTCTATGGTGATAGTGGTATACAGACGATTATCCAATCATCCTAGTATTATTCCTGATATTGCCCAGTTTCCTCCTTTCTCTGTACAAAAAGAAAGTGGTGGCAGTGTGACGAGTTAATTGCGCAATTAACCTGACCCAGTAACAATCGCACTCAGGCTGCCGGTACATCGATTTGTGGTCCATTAGCTGGAAAATCATTGTGCAGGGTGCAGCTGGGCGTGGCATTGTTACGCATGTGACATTGCGGTTTTAGATTGGCTAGTCCTTCGCTCACGAGTTTGGTGAGAAGGTCTGGGGTCTGAAGTCGCGATCGTCACAGACCATATGTCCGCTTACATCCGTTTTTTCGTCTGTTCCGTTTTTTTGTTTTAAACAGAAGCAAAATAGGGTTTTCTTCCGTTCAAAAAAAATGGATGTTAAGGGATGTGGGCATTAATGGATGTAAACAGATGATCATCCATTTACATCCACTAGTCCATTGAAATACATACAGAACGCCCCTGTCCAATCCCTGTGTGCCCCCCACAGTGAAAGTCCGGTGCCCCCCAGTCTGACCCTCCCTAATCCCTGTGTGCCCCCCCCCCCACACCGTCCAGTCCGTGTGCCCCCCAGTCTGACCCTTGCATGCCTACCGCAGTCCAGCCTACCCCCCAGCAGTCCAGCAGTCCGACCCTTGCATGCCTACCGCAGTCCAGTCCGTGTGCCCCCCACAGTCCGACCCTTGCATGCCTACCGCAGTCCAGTCCGTCCCCCCACAGTTGCCCCCCACAGTCCGACCCCATGCAGCAGTCCAGTGTGACAGTCCGACCCTTGCGCCCCTGCACCTGTGAGCCCCACAGCCCGGCTCTGCCTGCCCTCTATGTCCCCGGCACTCAGGCCTCCGCCTGGCCCCAGCACTCTGCCCTCTATGTCCCCGGCACTCAGGCCTCCGCCTGGCCCCAGCCCCCTATGTCCCCGGCACTCCCTCCGCCTGGCCCCACACTCTGCCAGTCCCCGGCACTCCCCCCGCGTCCTCCACAGTGCAGCTTTGCCCCACATTCTGGCTCTCGTAGAGCCCATGTGTGATTCTTCCTGTCCCCAGGAGGTGGCGGTGTTCCTGCCATGCAGTTCTCTGCCCTCCTTTCCTCACATTGCCTGTCTCTATGACCCCGGGATGTGTGTCCCGAGCCGTCCTGCGCTCCTATGGCCGGTGTGCTGTGCCTGCCCGCGCTCCGAGTATATTGAATACTATAAGTAGATGAGGACATGACTCCACACAGCTCAGGCCGCTTACTATACACATAGCAGCCATTTTGCGGCTTGGCATTTCCCCCTAGGAGGGCGGGGCCAGGTTTGAGTCGCCTTCGTCTGACGTAATTCCGGGCAGACCAGAGAGCGGCGGACATGGTGAGTGAGCATCTTTCTCCTGTACAAGCCGGGCTATAGTGACACAGCGGGGCCCACACTCCGCCTGGGGACCCCAGCTTGGGTAAAGAACACTGGGACATGTCCGGGGCCCTCCAGCTGCAGTGCTGGGCTGTTGGTGTTGCTGGTGGCTGTGTTCTCAGTGGTGGTCGTCGCTGGCTGGACATGCTGGGAGTTGTAGTTTCCCCCGGATAGGATGTGACTGCAGTGTGCTCTTCCTATACAGTCTGGTGGTAATAAATAGGCCCTGTGGCCCCTCCCCCTTGTACTGGGACTAGTGTCATAGGCACTATGGGGGCCCCTCTGGTGATTGTAATAAGACCCAGGAATCTGACACCCCTGCACCATTCTAGTGGGGCCATCAAAGCAGAAATCTGTTTAGGATCTCGGTTGCAGCGTAATGTTTACACTGGTAATAAAAAGTCGCAGGGATCGCCTTCTGAATGCCTGGAAGCTGCCGCTCCACCACCCTCTGAATAGCGATCCACCATGGAACATGTTTCAGAGTGCCGCCCATGTAAAGAAATCCTAAGGCCCCATTTCTAACACACGTCACATAAACACGCATTTTTCCCACACGTCTTTTCCGTTGAATGGTTTTCCCTTGAATGGGCTGCACTGTGTGTGACCACAGCGCCAAACATGTTTCTGCACTTTGTTTACGTTCTGACGTATTTGTCATGCTCAAAAACATCTGGATGCGTTTAGGGTGCCATTAGGAAATGCGCAGATCTGAACAGAGCCTTAGGCTCCATTCAGGTGGAATTGCTGCCATTCTGCTTGTGATTTGAAAACGCTGTGAAAACGCACACTCGCGAGTTCCACATGCGCTCTAGAAAGCTGCCATGGACTCTGCTTCTCCCTGAGGCTCTGGATGAGGAGCCCGAGGGGACCCCGCAACCCGAGAGGAAGATGTCCCTGTGCAGTTGTGAGACCTGTGGAAGTGTAGAGGCAAAGTAGACATGTCCCGGATGTATGAAGTACTCCTTTACCCTGTATAAGGCTAGGTTCACACCTCTGCAGGTTGTGTTTGAGCCGTTTCTGCATTGCGTTTTGCATTGCATTTTGAGTTTTTGCACTTGCATTTTTACTGCATTTTTTAATGCATTTTGCAGGGGGTTTTTTTTTTTGTAATTTTTTTAATCACTTGCCTACAGGGCACTTATACCCCTTCCTTACCAGGCCAATTTTCAGCTTTCAGCACTGTCGCGCTTTGAATGACAATTGCGCGGTCATGCAACACTGTACCCATATGAAATTTTTATAATTTTTTTTTTTTTTTTTTTAGACAGAGCTTTCTTTTGGTAGTATTTAATCACCACTGGGTTTTTCGCTAAACAAACCAAAAACTGAAAATTTTGAAAAAAAAAGTTTTTTCTTAGTTTTTGTTATACAATTCTGTAAATAAGTGATTTTTCTCCTTCACTGATATGCAACAATGAGGCTGCAGTGATAGGCACTAATACGTGGCATTGATGGGCATCGCTGAGGAGGCATTGACAGACATCGCTGAGGAGGCATTGACAGGCATCACTGATGGGCATTGACAGGCAGCACTGATGGGCACTGAAAGGCAGCACTCATTTATGGCACTGATAGGCGGCACTGTCTGGCACTGATAGGTGACACTGAAAGGCAGCTCAGATGGGGACATATGTGGCATTGATGTGCACTGGTAGGCACTGATATGTGGCATTGATGTGGCACTGGCAGGTGGCATTGATGAGCACTAACAGCTGACATTGATGGACACTGACAGGTGGCACTGCTGGGGCTACACTGATCATCATGGCACACTAATCATCAGTGCTCTGATGATCAGTGTACATGTCCCCTCTGAGGAATGCCAATTACTGGCTCTCCTCTCCTCTGTCAGCGTGACAGCTGGTGAGGAGAGAAATGCCGATAACCGGCATTTCCCTATTTACATGTGTGATTGGACACAGCTGATCACATGACCGAGCTGACATCTTCGGCTCTTTCCATTGATCGGTGATCCGCTGCATCCGAGGGACACAGTGCACCACTGATCGCCACGCTGCGCGCCCCCCGCGGTTAGAGTGGGAAGATGTCATGTGATATCCTCCCAGATAGAGAGAACCGCCTTGCGCCTGCCATTTCCTTATATGGCGAGTGGGAGGCGGTTAAAAAAATGTTTCTGCGCAAGACACAATCCAAAAGTGGCAAAACACACAGAAAAAACACAATACATGCTTTTCTGCAGAATTTCCATTGAAGTTTATATAACCAAAAATGCAACTTTTTGCGTTAACAGTCCCTGTCCTTTTCCAAAACACACAGTGGATGAAAACGCAGAGATGTGAATGTGTCCCATAGGAAATCATGTTAAATGGACTGTAGTGTGTTTCTGCAAACCGCTGCAGAAAACGCTTAGGTGTGAACCTGGGGTAAAGAAGCAAAAAGTGGACTCTGCTTGCAGCGGAGTCGGAGACAAGGCGGCTTTTGTGCCCCTAAATAAATTCTGCGACATAGACCTGCTGAGTGATTATGCCCGAAGGGTTTCGGATCGCTCCTCAAGAGATTCAACTTTACCTCGAAACACGACTAATAAATATTTGAACTTCTTAAAGAATAGAGCTCAGAAACATGACATAGATCTGAAAATTTTTCCTATTGGATCTTCAAAAAGAGCAAATTCTACATTTCATAACAAAAAAGAGCAAAAATTCTTTTGGCACTTGAAGCTTGTGTCTTGATGACAGGACACTGTGAAATTCTAAAACATTACATTGATCCAATTATCTGACAAAGGTTAAAAGAGTTTGTGGGATCTTCGTGTGATGTAAAGGTATTTATGTAGGCAGAAAAGAGAGAGCCTGGTCCAAAGAGGTACTATGAGCTGGACACCAGTGAAAGAAAGTGAGAGAAAATCTGAAAATGAAAACCATAATTGAGTTCCCAACTGTGTGTGTGACATTGAAAGGCTTCAGCGAAGACATAGTGCTGATAGATCAAGGAAATAAACCCTCACCATCTGTTTTATGAAGGGTGAAAATGTAGTCCATCTCATTGTGTAAATAAAAGGAGGACTCTGTCCCCCACAGTTATTACCTTTTGTACCACCAGCGCCTCCCTCTTAGATTGTAAGCTCCCAGGATCAGGCCCTTCTAACCCTCTTGTATTGAACTGTACTGTTGCTGTATTGTCTCCCTTTATAGTGTGTATATATATTTACTGAGCAAACGTGGCGCTATATAAATCCTGTATAATAATAATAATAATTCATTTCAATGGCATTTTTGCCATGATCGCAGCACGTTGTGCAGCGCAACAAACGTCCCGCGATCGCGCAAACAAAGTTGTGGGATGCGTGACACCCAAAAACAGGTTACGGAACCTTTTTATGGAGCGTCACAAGTCCTGAGATTTTGCTTGCTCGATCGTGGTGCGTTTTGTCATGTGCAAAAAACGCCCCGTGTGTTCAGGTGCCATTGAAATGAATGGCACCTGAACACACAAATGTGCATTTTCACAGCGTGTTTTCAAATCGCAAGCAGAATCGTGCCGATTCTGCCTGCAAAATGAAACGCCCAGTCGTGAATGGAGCCTTTAAGTGTATCTAAACCGAAATGTTTACTTTAGATTTCTGTGGAGTGGGGACGTTAGACCCCTTGGCAGGTTTTTATTGTCTCATTTCCCCATTGTGGAGATCCACCTCCTTCTTTTTTTTTTTTTTTTTACCTGGTGACCATTGTCACTGGCACAGGAAGAGACGGAAAGTCCAAATATTTTAAGTTGCCACAGAACACAAATAGAGGGGAAATCTTCCATTGGGGAGACTTGTTTTCTGTGATACCTTAAGAGGGGATTTTCCTTACTTTTGTAGAGATTTCCTATTATTTCCTGTGTCATCTGTAGGACAGGAAGTGAAGCACAATCTCCCTGAAAGGACACAGGCAGCTAAAAGCAAACAAACCGGTTTTAAAACCTTTTCCTGCTCGATACAAAACTAAGCATTGTTTTGGCTTTACAATCAACGGAATCACTAAAGGGACCCATTCTTTAAATGAAAGAGGAGCAGAGAAACATCACTAGCATGAGCCATGGGGAAGGTGGGTGGGGGGGGGGGGGGTAAGTGTAGCTATAATTAGTGCTCTATTGTGGTGGATGATCACATTATAGAAGGACCCATAAAAGGTGTGTGCGTGTGTTGGGGGGGGGGGGGGGGGGGGGGGGCACTACATTTTTTAAAAGAACACTTGCCAGAAGTTAGTAAGGTTTCTTAAAGCCCTTGGGGGCGGGGGAGGGGGGATGGTCAGTGCATGTAGCATTTGTTCCTGTTAAACTTTGCACTGTGGTTTAGAAACACAATGTTATTTTTTAGAACGTCTATTATGATATATATATTAATATTCTATAAATAATATATTATTTCTGTCAGTGCTGGCTATAGCTTCACCCCAGGCAAAATATGGGTGTACCTATGGGGTGGGGGGGTACAGCCAGCATTGAAGCCACCTTTCCGTTCTGCAGCTATCCTTCCTTTGCAGCCTGCGCCTCCTCTGCTCCCTTTGTCCTGTGAAAAGCCTGAACTCTCACAGCTGCCAGTTTTGGGGCAGATTACTGCTAGTAGTAGCTGAAGGCTTGTAGTGTGAGAGATGGTGACTTTGGTAGAGCGCTGTCATTCACAAAAATGCAAGTCGACAGCTACTACACTAAACTGTCTCGGACAAATGTAGTAGCTGCTGGCTTGTGCTGCTCTCTGTTTGTGTATTTGTGAATGATAATGCCCCTCTCCAGCTACCTACATTCACAATACAAGCTACCAGCAGATTTAGGGTGGTGTATGTTTGCATAGTGTCATGTACTTCATAATAAAGTTATTTTTTTGTTTTTTTTCATGTGCATTTTTTGGTTTCTATTTTGGTTCCTCTGCCTGCATACTTGATGGTGCTGGTTTGTGTTTTTGAGACAAAATCTTTCAGTATGTCACTAAATTGATTGAATGATGAATGGAGGGTATGTGGTTTTCCAATTTTTTTTATTTTTATTTGAAGACCAGTTTAGTCCTATTTAATTAAAATATAACGAATTGCAAAAGCTTTTGTTAGGTTTGGATAGAGCAGTGAGGGGTAACAAGCCCTGTCAGGTTTTTATTGCTGTCTGTGACCCTCTTTAGGGAGATTCACCCTCTCTAGTTCAGTGATCGGTTGTGTGTGCAGTGCATTTTTCAAAGTCCTGCTTAAAAAAGCCCCCCCAATTGAAATCATTGGACCATATTGAAAACGTACCTACGTTGCGTTTTTGATGTGGTTTGTGAGTCACATGTCCTTTAAAAAAAAACAAAAAAAAAAAAAAACGGCACCAATAACAAAGCATATGTGTTTTTGCTGTGTGTATCGGTGTGAAAGTAGCCTAAATGAAGCCAACAGTGTGTAGTGTTATGATATGCCGGCAAACCAAATTTAATTTGGCTCTTCTGTTCTGATATCAGAGGGCTTGGCAGCCAGGATGCTACCCCCTTAGCCTGGTATGTACTTATTTTTTATGGGACCCATTCATGGATACAAATGTGCCAAAGCAGAAAAAATCCAGGCTTCACCCCCAATGTACAGGGGTTTTCCTAGCCTTGTATATGTTATATCTTACCTATGACTGTAAGAAGCATCCGTTATGTTATTGAACTGTCAGATATTTATGTTTAGATAAAATTATTATTATTGGGGGGACCAAATCCCTGAAAAGAAAGCACTGCAAGGTTTTCATAGTCCGGATTACTGTTGTTGTTCCTAAAAGTAAACTCATTGGTGATAACACTGTTGGTCTTTTTTCCTTCAGGGTCAAAGTCAGAGTGGTGGTCACGGCCCTGGAGGAGGCAAGAAAGATGACAAGGTAATAATCACTGTGGCATTTCACTGAGAGTACATTTTATTCGAACTGTAACTGTGTGTTTTACTCAACAGAACCTGTGAAACCAAAGAGCAGGATTAAAATGCTTTCTAAAAAGTTAAAAAACAATTTCAGTTTTTTAAGGCCTCGTTCACATTGGCATACGTAAGCATACGCATGTGATGAGGCCCTGTTTGCCCACACCGTGTTCCATGCATCCCTGTGCAGCTAGTCCCATTCATGATAATCGTGATGCAGTGTTGTACGGACACAGAGGCTGCTCCTATTTTGTCAGTCGTGTGGGTGTGTCCGTGAACACAAACTGTCTGCATCCAGGATCCTGAACCCACAAGCAATGGTTGTGTCTGTGCAGCCGCTGCATCCCAATTGATATGAATGGGACTCTGTAAGGAATGCACAGAACACCTTTGCATCCCCATGTGGGCAAGGACGGCCCTCACACAGGAGTTTGTTTAGGTACACCCGTGTGAATGAAAATATTTTTTTTTCTAGTAATGCGGAATAGCAAAGTCAGAAGCCACAGGCTTATTTATCAAGTGTCATAAAAATGATCAGACAGCTCTACAGCTGCCCAGATCTCTTTTACAGAAAAGTTGGCATCTGGCAAGTAAAAACAGAAAAACAAGCTCATGGCTGCTATTGCTGCCATGAGCTTGTTTTAACTTCTTCAAGCACTGGAAATACTGAACACATTAAAGGTGCTGAAGAGGTAAATTGTTTATTAAACTCTAGTGCACCTCATAGCATAAGCCACATACTCTTTTACTGTGCAGTAGGATGGTTTATCTGAGTGAGTTTAACCTCAAATATGTTTAGCTGTGTTGAATCATCTCTTACATGATAACATGTATAATTTTATAAACCATTCCTATAAAAATGCAAGTTGTAAACCTGGGCTTGTTAAACCTTTGAGCTCGTTGTGTGTGGTGCTTGGGCCTAGATCTAAAGGAGAGGCAGATGCCAGGATAACATTCGTTTCTATGTGTGTTCCTTAAGGATAAGAAGAAGAAGTATGAACCGCCAGTACCTACTCGAGTTGGGAAAAAGAAAAAGAAGACGAAAGGGCCCGATGCCGCTAGTAAACTTCCTCTTGGTGAGTACTCACTTAAAGCCCAATTGAACATTCAGTTTAAATCTGCTGAATTCATTCCAGGTATATCAAAAGGTGTTCAATGTCTAGCAGTTTCTTTCTAAAGCAGTTACAGCCAGAGTGGAAAAGCCTGTTTGCTGTCAGTGGTTGCAGAGTGGGACCTTTGCGTTTTGTGGAGAAGGAGAGGTCTTATTGTAGAGATTCTGTGTTATTGTAGAGGTCCAACACGCCCCTTTCTGAGTCTGACCTACAGCTCTGCAGTCTACAAAGATCATGCTCCCTGCCGATTGAAGAGTTCTGTCTCTGAATAGCAGGATAGGTACTGTACCTCTGCAGAGAGAGAGATTAGTGTCTACTCAGTGAGCGCAAGGGTCCCACTCTGGAACATGCTGGCGCATGGTACATGCTTTTCTACTCAAGCCGTGGCTGATTTAAAAACAAAAAAGCACTGTAAGACTATTTTTTTTTTTTTGCATTTGGAATGTATTTTGCTAATTTAAACCGGAAGTTATTGGATTTAGTAATCAATAGCTGATCGCAGGTGCAATGCAGGGCTCCTGCAGACTGTCAGTGTAAGCTGTCTGCTCGTACCTCGTACGAGCAGGCAGTTAATGACAAGAAGACTCAGTGAACTACCTAGAGCGCTCAGCAGCAGCTTAGTAGTTCATTGAGAACCATAGGCCATCAGCCGGAAAGTACGTTCATTCACAGAACTCTGTGATAAATGATGCAGCTGTGTGGGCGGAGCCTGGCGCATCGCTCTTTCCAAATTCTCTCTGTGGGTGCAGGGGGAAGATCCCCAGCCCTCTGTAACAGGGAGGGGGGATGGGGGAGCGGCTGCAGAAGCAGGAAGCATGTTACATGTTCCAACCTACAAATGTGTGGAAACGTGTAGATTGTAAGCTCAAAAGAGCAGGGCCATTTATCACATTGTATTGTTTTTGTACTGTCGCATGTTCTGTCTCCCATTGTAATGTACAGCGCTGAGCGAACTGTTGGCGCTTTATAAATACTGTATAATAATAATAATTTTTCCAAAGTTGAACTTATCCTTTAAGCTGGTGGTACTCAGAATTAATGGGCAAGTTAATGACATGGATCACCCATGGGTTTGATCTGATGGTCTCTATGGCTATTCATTTTTCTTCTCCCTGGGTGGCAAAAGTGGCTAGTTGCAATTGGGGGTTGTCTTTATTGCTGGCCATACATGAATCGAAATTCGATCCATGTATGGGCTAGCTGGTTGTACAGAAGAAAATATGTCGATCGACTTGTGTACAGCCAGTCTGCTGGGTTTTTCTCAAATGATCAGTACCCCCTGTCCGTAGCCGACAACACTGATCATTGTATTGTCCTGGGGGATGGGGGGAGGCATCCCACTGGAAGAGTACAATAGTAAAGCGGGAATTATTCCCCCATCCACCTCGAATGTGTGGTTGTGAGGAATCCCTTCATTTTATTTTTTTTTTAATCATTCAATGTGCTGGTTGAATTTAAAAAAAAAAAAAATGAACCTTGTAGGACCAGCCTATATGTACCCAACCTGATGAAATTAGAGCTGAATGTTAATCGGAATGCATATTTACTCTTACAAGGCTATTTCTGGTAGTCCATAACAGGTGATGAGAGCAAGTCTTTGTTGGTAGCATTTAACTGGTGCTTCTTGTTTGTTTTGCAGTAACACCACACACACAATGTAGGCTGAAGCTTCTGAAAATGGAGAGAATTAAAGATTATCTCCTCATGGAGGAAGAGTTTATTAGAAATCAGGAGCAGATGAAGCCCCTGGAGGAGAAACAGGAGGTGAGGAAACTCGTGATATATATCGGTGGCATTTGAGTCCTACACTGGGTCAGGTCCTCAACATATTCTTTCAAGCAGAACAACCTAAATAAATTGGGTTGGGGAAGTGGGCTTCTTTTGTACGGTATAATAGTACAGTCTTTTTCAACCAGGCAGCCCAGAGGTTTCTTCAGGGGTAAACACAAATACAACACCTCCTGCGCTCAGGGACCCAGACCACTGGAGGGCTGATGGATCAATAGTATAAACATGATAAAGATGTATGGAAGTTCTCTCCCAAACCGATCAAAGGCTGTGCAGCTCCAACACAAAGCTGGGGAAGCTTGATACAAACAGCAGTGAAGAACAAAAACAGAGCGCACAAACTTTGCGCATTACCTCAGTAAACAGTAAATTTATTGATTTAGGACAGTGGTGGGCAACCTTTTTTTTTAACTGAGCAAATCTCTCGCCAAAACCACGTAAATTTATTTTGAGAGCCACATTTTTAAAACTAAAATACATAGGATGGTATGTTTTAGTTTCAGTTATCCCCTCATCCCCCATATAGTAATTCATCCCCCATATAGTATTCATCCCCCAATAGTAATTTCAATTCCTCCCCCATATAGTTTATATAGTAATTCTCCCCCATAGTTCCCCCATATTAATTCATCCCTCATATAGTAGTAGTAAGTAAGTAGCAAGTGTCAAGTCCCTCCTGTGTCAATTCACTTACCTTTGGGGCGGACTGTGAGAGGAGCCTAGCTCTGTTTTTGTCACGCTGCCCCCGCCTACACACATCCTGACAGCCAATCACTAGCTATCAGGATGTGAGTGGCAGCGAGACTGGCCAATCATTCAGCTGCAGAGTCCTCGGCCACCCGAGAGGAGGGAGGGGAGGGGAGCGGCCGCCGGAGGGGAGGGAAGGGAGGGGAGGGGAGCGAGCGCCCGGCACACAGAAGAGCCGCATTAAAAATGTGTAAAGAGCCGCATGTGGCTCGCGACCGCGGCTTGCCGAAATTTAGGAGATATGCTCACAAGAGTAGTATATCTCCTAAATCAATAAATTTACTGTTTACTGAGGTAATGCGCAAGGTTTGTGCGCTCTGTTTTTGTTCTTCACTACAGTTTCTTCAGGAGTGCCTTGACAAAATGTCTAAAAATTGCCCAAAAATTGTATACAAGCCAGCAGGTGGAACAAGTCTGCCTTTTTAGTTACACAAAGCCATCAGCTGATATGGAGGATGTTGATCGCCTGCATGGCACCCTTTTTTGACCCTCCCCTCTCTGTCAGTAATGGGGTCAGATTAGCTGAGTGATAGAGAAACTGCAGAGAAACATTGAAATACTATTCGGTATCAGTAAAAGTGTATTTGCTTTGGAAAAATAAATCCCCTTTAACATTGGGTGCCCTACAAGTATGGGTGTTGCATTTGGTAAAACTTAGAATGTGGGTTTTTTTTTTTTTTTTACATTTTCGAATGGGGTGCCTTGAGACTGTCCATAATTTTAAAGGGTGCCTCAAGATTGTTCATAACTTTAAAGGGTGCCTTGACTGAAATATTGTTAAACACTGTAATAGAAGTACAGAGAAAGTTTGGGCTCCAGCATAGTGTGCAGTTCTGATCTCTCTCTTGTACTTGACCCAGTGACTTTTAATATTACATGACCAAATGACAATGGCCAATTCGTGCACACAAGGGCTGGCAGCAAACCGCCTTCTCTGCTCACTGTGTATTATTGTAAATAATGTGCACCCCCCCTATAACATAGACGTCTCTTTCCTATGGCAGTCCTACTGCCTTTTTAGGCTTGTTTTATGTGGCAGGTGTGTCCAGGAGCATTGTAACCATCCAAATACGTTTGTTACAATTGCAGGACCATATTCTAACTAGGTTGGGATATGGGTTCTAATTTAAAGCCCTGCTGCAAACTGCTTCTAAATTTACCCATCCAAACTCCCCCCACCCCCCCCAGTTGGGCTTGCATTGTACATGATGACTTCAGAAAGCTGTGAACCATCAGGCAGCAACGAGGAGCTGCTTCAGGGGCTTGGCCATACAGTGAGGAGGAAGCCTGTGAAAGTGAAGAATATGGGAAGTATTTCATGTCATTATTTCCAAACAAGTGTTCAAACCATGCAGTGCAGAGGGGCCCACTGCATGGGTAAATTTAATAGCAGTAGCCCACAGTGGGGCTTCAAATTTTAAAGTTGGGTCCTGGGTGCAGTTCAGGTGTGGATTTACAGAACCAGAGACATTCAAATTTGAGCCATTACTGTTTGACTTAAATAACTCAACTTACATTGCTGTGTCTTTTTAGGAAGAGAGGTCCAAGGTGGATGACCTGCGAGGAACCCCCATGTCTGTGGGCACATTAGAGGAGATTATTGATGACAACCATGCCATTGTTTCTACATCTGTCGGGTCTGAGCACTATGTCAGCATCCTGTCATTTGTAGATAAAGACCTGTTGGAACCGGGCTGCTCTGTTCTGTTGAACCACAAAGTGAGTCGTTGGATTGTATGTCATTAAAACAATAGTTATGAGGGATAACTGAACATGTGATTAACCACTTTATATCCGAGTGCAATTATGCTACCTGCACTGAGGAGTGAAAACATGATTAACTACTTGAAGACCGGGCTTTTTCTGTCACTTTTTGTTTTACATGTAACAATCCTAACCCAATTTTTTTATTAAAATATAAAAGATAATGTTACGCCGAGTAAATAGATCCCAGACCAGACATATCACACTTTAAAATTACGCACACCCGGGTGGGCCAACTGAGTATTGATATCAATACAAAGGGGGGGCCAACTCAATATTGAACCATGCGAACTAACAGTTGGATGCCATTAAAAGTCATGTACGTGTAAAGGCAGGCGTCCCAACACTTTTGACAATATAGTGTATGTGGTCTTTAGCTATTGACTCCGCAGACAGTTGGCGACTTCTGCACACTGTGTACTTTAGAATGCGCTGATCCCGCTCTGTCATTTTTACGTGGTCTACCACTTCATGCCTGAGTTGCTATTGTTCTAAAAAATGATATCACCCCGGTACAACCACATGAAGTCTAATAACGTACCAGTTTGCAAATTCAAGGAAAGGTAGCAGGTTGGTTTCTTGTTGTTTTAGGTTTTTACAGGGTCTGATTATTAGCCATGTAAGTTCAACTACTATTAAGAGATCAAAAACAACAACATAAAGGTTCCGGTTTGAGGTCCATATAAACATCCACTTTTAATAATTTCAATAACTAGTAACAATTGAGTACTGTCCGTGATACTTTTTTTTTATTTGCACTAACATACAATTTTGAGGACAAGCTTTCGGGGTATGTCCCCTTCTTCAAAGTCCAAGCAGTACTATTACAAATCACAAAGTTTAAGCAGAATGTTAGAAGGGATTGAGAAAAAAAAAAAAAAGGCTACAGATAAGATACATCAAGAGCGAGGAGGGAGGGGGGGGGGATACTACACTCACACAGAGGGGGTCAAACTTCAGATAATCATAAAATCTATTAGCTGAAGCTTGACCCCCTCTGTGTGAGTGTAGTATTCCCCCCCTCGCTCTTGATGTATCTTATCTGTAGTCTTTTTTTTTTTTTTCTTCTCAATCCCTTCTAACATTCTGCTTAAACTTTGTGATTTGTAATAGTACTGTTTGGACTTTGAAGAAGGGGACATACCCCCGAAAGCTTGTCCTCAAAATTGTATGTTAGTGCAAATAAAAAAAGTATCACGGACAGTACTCAATTGTTTCTGTCGCAAGTGCACTAATACGGCTACAATCACCTCAAGCAATAACTAGTAACTAAGGATTGAATCTTAGTTGGGAAATGTACTTTTATGACTTTTATTGATCTTATATAAAATGGGGCATTTTGGGTGTCTGAGGATGTCTGATTATGACTGAAATGCAGCTAAACCTGTGTTTGTTTTTTTTTTTTTTTTTTTTTTTTTTTTTCCAATCTAGAAATGCATTTTCTGACAGCCATTAGTAAAATTCTCCTTTAACCGCTTCCCGTCCAGCCATAGTCTATAGATAGTGGACCGGAAGTTGTGCAGATGTGGGCTAACCGCGCTTGCGCCCGGGAGTCCAGCAATTGGTATTTTGCCCGGACACAGCAAATCACATTACTGCTGTGTCCGGGCGATCACATGGTGTTTTACCATGTTACTGCTGTGTCCAGTCACACAGTAAACACTAGAAACTGAAACTAAAGTTCGGTTCTCTCTGCTCTTACTGTTAGAGCTGCCAGCCCCAGTACTCCTGATCACTGCCCCAGTGTAGGAACAATAAAGTGTGCACCTAGCCCCTGTCACCTGTCCCAGTGCTAACAATAGCACTGCCATACCCCATACTAATGTCATGATCACCACTATACCAGTGTCCTAATCACTGTCATACCCCATACCAGCACCCTAATGACTGCCATATCCCATACCAGCAACCTGATCACCCCTACTCCATACCCCTTAACACCCAACTTGATCATCACCATACCCCATACCAACATTCTGATCACCGCCATACCCGATACCAGCATCCTGATCATCGCCATACCAGCACCCTATTGACTGCCATATCCCATACCATCCTGATCACTCCTACGCCATACCCCTTAACACCATCTTGATCATCGCCATACTCCATACCAGCATCTTGATCATCACCATACCCCATACCAACATTCTGATCACCGCCATACCCGATACCGGCATCCTGATCATCGCCATACCAGCATCCTGATCACCCCATATACAAATACCAGTGTCCTGATCACTGCCATACCCCATACCAGCGCCATGATTATTATTATTACTACGAGTTTATATAGCGCCAAAGGGTTTGCTCAGCGCTGTACAATAGGGGGGACAATACATGGCACAGTACAACAACAACAAACAACGTACGAGGGGTAAGAGGGCCCTACTCTTTCGAGCTTACAATCTAGGAGGGAGATTGGTAAAGGTACAGTAGGAAGTGGCTGAGGGGGATGAATGGTGGGAGGAATGAGGGAGGATGGCCGTTAGGTGAGGGTGGGGTAGGCTTCCCTGAAGAGATGGGTTTTGAGGGAGCGCCTGAATGTGGATAGGGAAGGCGACAGTCTGATGGATTGGGGCAGTGAGTTCCAGAGGATGGGGGAGGACCTGGAGAAGTCCTGCAGTCGTGCATGTGAGGAGGAGACCAGGGAGCAGGATAGAAGGAGGTCCTGTGAGGAGCGAAGGGTACGGGTAGGGTGGTACTTGGTGATCAGGTTGGTGAGGTAGTCAGGGGCAGTGTTGTGAACGGCTTTGTATAGGTCAGGGTTAGGAGTTTAAATTTGATGCGTTGGGCAATCGGGAGCCAGTGGAGGGAGAGGCAGAGGGGGGTGGCAGAGGTGGAGCGGGTGGTGAGATGATCACTGCCATATGCCATACCAGTGCCATGATCACCGCCATACCAGCATCCTGATCACCCCTTACGCCATACCAGCATCTTGATCACTGCCATACCGCATACCAGCGTCCTGATCATCCTCATACACCATATCAGCACTCTGATCATCTCCATACCCCATACCAGGTTTCTGATCACTACCATACCCCATACCAGCGTCCTGATCACAGCCATACCTCAAGCCAACATCCTGATCACCGCCTTACCCCATGATCACTTGCATACGTCATACCAGTGTCTGGCATTTTATCAGTTTTGATATATATATCCCATAGTTTTTAGACTCTATATCTTTTGCACAGACTAAGTAATATACACTGTTTTGGGTTATTTTTACCCCAAGAATGTAGCAGAATACATTTTGGCTAAATTTGTGAAGAAAAATTATTTATTTGCAAAATTTTAAAACAAAAACTAAGCAAAAAAAAAGTGTTTTTTTTTCTGTTTTTCTTCATTTAGATAGCAAAAAGAAAAAAAAAACAGTGCTAATTAAATACCACCTAATTAAAGCTCTACCTGTCTCAAAATAAAAGCTACAAATTTCATATGGGTAAAGTGTTGCATGTCTGAGTAATTGTCACTAAAAGTGTGACAGTACTGAAAGCTGAAAATTGGCCTAAACTGGAAGGGGGTGAAAGTGTCTGGACTTAAAATGATTAAACATGCTGTTTGTCTACCATTCAGGTGCATGCAGTGATTGGTGTTCTCATGGATGACACCGATCCCTTGGTAACCGTTATGAAAGTGGAGAAAGCCCCTCAGGAGACGTACGCAGATATAGGTGGACTGGACAACCAGATTCAGGAAATTAAGGTCTGTTGTGTGTGAGTGTATTATTTTTTTTTTTTTTTTTTGTTTATTGTGCTTTAGCAAAGGGGTGTTTAATCTGTCTGTAACTGCTTTCATTTTTAAATATTCCTTTTGTTTTTTTAAAGGATAAGTTCACCTTTTAATACATGTTACACCTTTATCCATGGTGTCACATGTTGCTGTATATGCAGCCCCCACACCCACCCAAGCCCCTGTTGTGACAGCAGGTCGGGAATCTTCTGACACCTGCTGTCACAATTTTTAAAAAAAAGCTTCCGGAGTTCTGTGCATGAGAGAACTGCAACTACCGTCAGGCATTGCGGCAGATGGCTTGTAGTTCTCAATGAACTACCGGGACGCTTGTGAGTGCTCTCGTAGTTCATTGATTCTTCCTGACGTTCTATTCAAGGTATGGGCAAACCGCTACACTGACAGTCTGCAGGAGCCTGGCATTGCACCCATGATCTGCTGATAGAGGGTGCAATGCTTTACAGGCTCCTAATATAAATAATGAATGCACATTTTTTTTAATCTGCAAAGAGATGTGCATTTTGTTGTTGTTTTTTTTTTTTCCCCTAAGGTGAACTTATCCTTTATTAAAGAATGTAGTTTACATAAAATCCTAAAACCAAAACATTCTGTGTATATGTGTATGCTAAGGAAAGATTCTACCCAGATGATTTTGGTGAAAGCAGCCAGAGAATATAACACTGACCTCTGTCTTGTGTTTCCTTTACATGCTGGTACTTTTATATCTGCACTTAGAGCCTCTTTATACTTATACAATAAAAATGCATTTAAATTGTGTTTTTATGCTTTGTGGTGCATTTATGTAAAGTATAACTGTACTTTCCTACAATTATCTTTTAAATGGAACCCCATGCTCCAGGTCTTATACTCACCTGTCCATAATTATGGTCTAACCACACTGTGACCTACAGGAAACTGAACAGGCTGATGGAAATTCCTGGCCAGGCCAGAAGTCTTCCATGCATGTGCAGACAAAGTAACTTATGGAATACACTGGATATGGAATAACCTATGGGAATACACTGGATTTTGCCACTTATGGAAAAGAATACTTGGGGACTGGCTGGGATAGTCTCCAATAATCATAACATAAACTGCTTGTAGGCAAACCTGAAGACAAGTGTAGATGGACTCTACTACACTAAGAAAAGTGCTATAAGGGCTCGTAGGTGACTTCTGTAGAGTTCACACCCCCTATTGACCCCCAATTGGTTTTCTCTACTTGCTCAAAATGCCTTTAAGAATGTTTCTTCTTGCTGCTCTGGTTTCTTGGCATAAGCAAGTGTCCATTGTTGCATAAAGAAAACCCAAAAGTCTCTATATACAGTCTTCTATGATCTGCACAGATTAATATTTTTGTGACCTCTGCATTTTAGGAGTCTGTAGAGCTTCCACTCACCCACCCAGAGTACTACGAAGAGATGGGCATCAAACCACCTAAAGGAGTCATATTGTATGGTCCTCCTGGCACAGGTACTGTGGTTTCAAAATCTGCAGGTTGTTTGTTTGTCCATTCACATATTGTCAAGCTCACCAGAATCTCCTCATAGGTAAAACCCTTCTGGCCAAGGCTGTAGCCAACCAGACATCGGCTACTTTCCTGAGGGTGGTAGGCTCGGAGCTGATCCAAAAATACCTGGGAGATGGACCCAAGTTGGTGCGGGAGCTTTTCAGAGTGGCTGAAGAACATGCTCCGTCTATTGTATTTATTGATGAAATAGATGCCATTGGGACAAAGAGGTATGGTTCATTTTCCTTATCAAATGTGACTCATTTATATATTATTCAGTTAATGAAAAGCAATAAGAGGTGAATAGGAAAAAAAAATTAGTTTTGTATGGAGTAGTTTTCTGGTATCCTAGTTGCCCATTGAATTTACAGTGTACTTCCTACCACCTTTTCCAAAATCGCAGAAGTAGTACTTACCTGTGTGATTGTTAACTGTAGTGAAAGTAGTTGATGAAGCTTTGCTTCCTTAGCTTTTCTCCTCAAAATTAAAGAAGCAGCACACTGATTAGGTAAGCTATCTGCAATCCCCTCTGCGAGTCTGACAGTACTGAGCAGGTGGAGGCCACTGACATTTTTTTTCCCTACTCATCTTTTCTGACTGTTTTTCACTAGTTTTGCATTTGGCTAGGTTCAGTGTTACTACTGGTAGCATTAGGCAATACCTAGACCCTACAGAGGTTGCACAGGCAGTAAATGCCTTCAGGGTGGCACATCAATACGTGTCATTGCCAGAAGGTTTGCACTGTCTCCCAAAGCACAGTCCCAACAGCATTTCAGATTCCAGGAGACAGGCAGTTACTTTAGGAGAGCTGGATAGGTCGTAGAAGGTCCTTAACCCATCAGCAGGACCGTATCTGCTCCTTTTGTGCAAGGAGGAACAGGATGAGCACTCTCAGAGCCATACAAAATGACCTCCAGCAGGCCACTGGTGTGAATGTCTCTGACCAAACAATCAGAAACAGACTTCATGAGGGTGGCCTGAGGGCCTGGCGTCCTCTAGCAGGTCCTGTGCTCACTGCCTGGCACCATAGAGCTCGATTGGCATTTGCCATTGAACATCAGAAATGGCAGGTCTGCCACTGGTTCCCTGTGCTTTTCACAGATGAGAGCAGGTTCATCCCTGAGCACATGTGACAGACATGAAAGGGTCTGGAGAAGCCATGAGAATGTTATGCTACCAGTAACATTGTTCAGCATGACTGTTTTGGTGGTGTGGTCAGTGATGGTCTGGGGAGGCATATCCATTGAGGGAAGCACAGACCTCTACAGGCCAGACAATGGCACCCTGACTGCCATTAGGTATGGGGATGAAATCCTTGGACCCATTGTCAGACCCACACTGGTTCAGTGGGTCCTGGGTTCCGCCTGGTGCAACACAATGCCCGGCCTCATGTGGCGAGAATATGTAGGCAGTTCCTGGAGTATGAAGGACTTGATACCGTTGAATGGCCCCCACGCTTGCCTGACCTAAATCCAATAGAACACCTCTGGGATGTCGTGTTTCAGTCCATCTGACGCCATCAGGTTGCACCTCAGACTGTCTAGGGCAGGGTGGGCAAACTTTTTGACTTGAGGGCCGCAATGGATTCATATATTGGACCCGGGGGCCGGACCAAGAGTAGATGAATTATGTGTATGTGTCATCCATAGTAAGTATAGTAATATTCCCCCATAGTAAGCATAGTAATTAATCCCCCATATAGTAATTCATCCCCCCCATAGTAATTCATCCCCCCCATAGTAATTCATCCCCCCCCCATAGTAATTCATCCCCCCTATAGTAATTCATCCCCCCTATAGTAATTCATTCCCCCTATAGTAATTCATCCCCCATAGTAATTCATTCCCCATATTAATTCATCCCCCATATGAAGTCCCCAAGTCCCCCCTGTGTCAATTCACTTACCTTTGCTCCGCGCGCTCCTCTCGCCGTGTTCCCACGCCGTTCCAGTGTAGCATGAAAATCTGTCTCCTATGAGGATCTGTCCCCCTCGACGTATCTGCGCATGTACCAGTTTTCAGGCATTAGCAGCCGATCGGCGATCTCCGGCACATGCGCAGATACGTCGAGGCGGACAGATCCTCATAGGAGACAGATTTTCATGCTACACCGGAACGGCGCGGGACACGGCGAGAGGAACGCGCGGAGCAAAGGTAAGTGAATTGACACAGGGGGACTTCATATGGGGGATGAATTAATATGGGGAATGAATTACTTCAGGGCGGACTGTGAGAGGAGCCTAGCTCCGCGGGCCTAATTAAAAGGTCCGCCGGGCCGTATACGGCCCGCGGGCCGTAGTTTGCCCATTGCTGGTCTAGGGGCTCATTGATGCACTGGTCCAGATCTGGGAGGAAATATTCCAGAACACCGTTCGTCGTCTCATTAGGAGCATGCCCCGACTTTGACAGGCATGCATACAAGCACATGGGGGCCATACATACAAACTACTGAGGACTATTTTGAGTTGTTGCAGTGAAATTTCAGCAAAATGGACTAGCCTGCTGCATCATTTTTTCACTTTGATTTTCGGGGGTGTCTGAATTCAGTCCTTTGTAGGTTGATAATTTTAATTTCTGTCAAACGATGGGGCATCCTTAATGTGCCTAACACATTGCCCAGTCCATATCCGTTTAGATATCCAGCATGATATTTTTCCCCATTGAGATCTGATGTGTTTTCAAAGTGTTCCTTTAATTTTTTTGACCAGTGTATTTCCCAGATCAATTTCTCCTGTGTTTAAATTTTTTAAAAAAAATTGCCCAAGTCCTATGCAAATGAGAGCTATTGGATTATGCACAAGTGAAAAACTGTGATTAACAAAATAGCCAATGCCTGGATTTATATCTATACAAGCAACCCACACCCTTCAGCCTGGAACTTGAAAGTGAGACAACAGGAGCTAGCCTTGTGGAATGTGCTTTTTTTTTTTTTTTTTTTTTTTTTTTTTTTAATCTGAACTCTAGTGATATTTAAACAGTCAATAAAAGAGAAGTATTAGCTTTTGAAAGCCCATACTTCGCCAGCTCTGCACAGACAGCTGAGCGATCAAATGCCGCTGATCACTCCATTCTCCTCTGAGCAGAGAGCCAGGACTGTTGGTCTCCGGTTGTCTGCTCTGTCTCTCCAGCGCCCATTAGAGCCCTGGGCTGTGGAGGGGGCAGGAGGGGGGCTAGCTCAGGCTCTTGATAGATCACTTAGAGGCTGGTCCACAGTTCTGGGTGGATCCTGACCAGGGGCGGACTGACAACTCATGGGGCCCCCGAGCAATAGGGGATCATGGGGCCCTGTGTCCTTGCCCAAATTCAAAAAAAGCCTATTAAAAAGGTACAAGGGGCATCCCATGGGGCCCCCTACTGACCCCGGGCCCTCGGGCAGTGCCCGAGTTTCCAAATGGTCAGTCCGCCCCTGCTCCTGACCATATTATCAGGAAAAACCGGGTCACAGGAGTGCAGAACTAACTGCACTCCTGTAATCCATAGAAGTATAGCCAAAAAGCTTTTGCTATACTCCTTTCATTTAATTCTGTACCATTTTTTTTTTTTTTTTTTTTTTTTAATGCAAGCAATGTAAATACCCTGAAAATTTGACTTTGCATAAGCCTTATGCAGTTATTTGTACAGAAAAAGTGGCAGAGGAAGATGCAGCACATATACGAAGCCAATCAGATGTTCTACAGTCCTAACAAGAAGCATGCTAGACAAATAGAACAGAATAAGAGAGATAATCTCATCTGTCTGCTGCTTTTCCTTCACTGTGTAACCACAAGCTGAGGGAGGAGCAAAAACTGTAAATGTTACTTATTTTGCAGCAGAAAAAAAAATCAGGCCTCCTGCACTACCAGATAGTAAAAATGGCATTCAAGATTTTTACAAGGGTAATTGTGACTGCATAATCTCCACTAATTTACCCTAAGATGCAAGAGAAACCTATGCTAAGAGTAATATGGGGGCTGTCCGTTCCAATCTGCTTCTGAAAATACTAGTTTTTCTGGCTGCCATGTTGATCATTCTGACTTAAATCTTTCTTGACACAGGTCCACAACATACAATGCAACAAGTTCATTGAACATTTTATCTGCAAACATGTGACTCAAACTTTGAGACTGGGTTCACACACATGCGGTGTGGTCTAAACGCATGCGTTTCGCACAGAAACCTCACAGCATTCTTGTGCAAATCACATGCGATTTGTGTGTGGTGCAATTGGAGCCATACATTTTGTATGGCTCAAATTGCCCTGCACCAAAAAGGTGCAGGACCCTTTTTTTGTTCTGCACTGGAATCGGATTGCATGGGTATTCACACCCATGCTTTCCGATTTTGCACATTGCGTTTTGCTCACCGATTTCAGGGTGTTGTTAACATACACACCTGCAGCGGTTCGCATGAACGGGGTGCAATTCTGCTGCGGTGCAGAATTCGCATAGAAAACGCTGCAAATTCCGCACCGTGTTCTTGTGAACCCAGCCTCAAAGCATGGCAGGCAAGAAGTTCTTGTTCTCAGGAGAGGTCATCAATAGCCGTTTCTCTTTGATCTAAGCCTGGGCTTCCTTTAACCAACACTTTTAATAGTTTGTGCGCTCAGTCATCACTGCATGTTCGGTAATCCGAGAACTAAGAGTACACAAGCTAATTTTTTTTTTTCCCCTCGTTTTTTCACCTTATAGATACGATTCTAACTCTGGTGGAGAGAGAGAAATTCAGAGAACCATGTTGGAGCTTCTGAACCAGCTGGATGGATTTGATTCTCGAGGGGATGTAAAAGTTATTATGGCCACCAACCGAATAGAAACCCTGGACCCAGCATTAATTAGACCAGGTACAATCTACTACTTCTTCAGACTGTTCCTTCTATTGTGAAAAATTTAGACCCACCTTCATAGATTAGCAGGTGGACAGCAGACCTATCATAGTGGACATGTCCATGTTGAAAAATTTAAAAAAATTCAACTTTAAGCTAAAAGGAAAAATACAATAAAACACCTCACACCCCACCAGTGTGCCTGGGGCACCTAGACAATGATGATGCCAGAGGCCTTCTGGTAACATGCTGTGATAAAGCTTGAGTTTTGCCAACATGCCAGTAGGCCTGCAACATCATTATGAAGCTGCTCTATGGACAGAAGCAGAAGGCTTTGTCATGAGACTTTTCTGATAACAATTGCATACCTATACATTTTGCACAACATGCCAGTAGGCCTGCAACATCATCATTATGGAGCTGCCTATTACAGAAGCCAAAGTGTAAGGCAAATGTATAATTTTTCACTTTAAATAAAGGCTTCCAAAGTTTAACTTAATTTTTTAAATTTTACTCTGTTTTTACATGTAGGTTTTTTCTGAAAAGGCCTAATACAACATTTTATAGCTAAGAGCTCATTGATTCTGATTGACACCTATGCAATCTCGCCTAGGTCGTATCGACCGTAAAATTGAGTTCCCTCTACCAGACGAGAAAACAAAGAGGAGAATCTTCCAGATACACACTAGCCGCATGACCCTGTCAGACGACGTCACACTAGATGACTTAATCATGGCGAAAGATGACCTGTCCGGAGCAGATATAAAGGTATGGCCATCTGGGACCCTTTCCAGCTGCTTCATGTGCATGACATGCTTATATTAACCCCTTGGCGCTGACGCCTCCTGGCCTTTTAAGGGTTTCAGAATCCGGGAGGTGGGTGGGGTTTTAGGGTCATGTGACCACTGTGATTCACTGTCACTGTGGTCACATGATTAGGAAAGGTCCCAATCGCAAGAGGAGATTGGGACCTTTCCGTGAGTACCGAACATGTGTGCTGGTAGTGCGCAGGGCGCACGCTTTCAGCACATAGATTTTTCTTAATTGCACGCAAATGTGCGGCCCGCTTGGCATCAAGGCCCAGACGCCGGGAGGCTGCACATTTGCATGCAGCCGGCGCCAAGAGGTTAAAGTGTACTTAAACCCAACAACAGAATATTGTATTTTTGGTCAGGTACTGTATACATTAAAAATAACAAAGTGGAACTATAGGCAATTTTTTTTCCCATTTTAGCAAGAATGGGTCTTTTTTTTTTTTTTTTTTTTTTTTTTTCGCCATCTGTGTCCTATTGCTGAGATTTCCCTTCATGTCCCATAGCCAAACAGGAAGTGAGGGGAAAGCCCTACAAATTTTCCAAGGCCGCTTGAATTCCATAGCCAAATAGGAAGTTTTAAGGGATTTCTTTGGGATCCACAGGACTAGTGTCCTCATTGGAAGATTTCCCCTCTATTACGTTTCTGGGGACAACCCAAAGTTTGGGGTTTTCTTAAACTTTTCACTTTTGATGATATCGGTAAACAGGACAAATGGAGAGGGTGAATCCCCTTAATGGGGGACACAGCCGTAAAAACTGTCAAGTGTTCTAGGCCCTCTCCACTCTGTCCAAAACTGAAAAAAAAAAAAAAAAGGTTTTGCCTTTTTGTTTTACTTTATTATTGCTTTAAATCGCCAAGCTGGCCCAAATTGACTACCATTTCAAAATGATGCGGCTGCTAGGTGTGCTGTAATATACTGTAGTACCATTGACTAGATACAATAAGCAGCTCTGTGTTCCAGCAGCAGTATGGGCGACGTCCTGTCTGGTGCTGGAATTCATTGTAATTTTATCAATGACTGCATGACTTCCGCTGATTAGCAAAGGCAAAGAGATGGGTGGTTGATGGCACAATTTCCACCTCAACCAATCAGAGGAAGCCTTCACTGATAAAAATACAAGGCTTCTCCTGAGTGACAGAGAAGCCCAGCTTTCTTGAAACCCATACACAGATGGGAAAATTACCTGTACTGCAGCCAGAACACAGTGCCTGCTATTACAGTATATTACATTGCACGCAGTGGCCGCATTGTTGTATAAAGGAAATAGTTTGTTTTGGCCAGCTTGACCCAAACAAACTAAAGTGATAATAAAGCCGGAATTCTACTGTAACAGTTTTCGGTAATCTACGTAAATGCAGTTGTGCATGCAATGATTGCATAAACAAGCAACTGTGTATATTTTGGCAAAAATATTTAATTCAAAATAGCCCAATAACCTTGACTTTAGCAGCCACATTTTGAAGATCCCAGTCCTGTGGATACAGGGGAGATTTCCTCCTGTGTTTCTGTAAAACAGCAGCTCTAGCACAATGAAGTACACTTCTGATCATAGGGAAAATGTAGCATTGATCAAGGCGGCAGGACCAGCCGATTTGAGGTAGGGAAATCTGCTCCTTCCCCTGGTATATTCCTAGCTGGGGTGTAGCATTAAGGACCAGCACAAGTAATAAATACATAATTCCTACCTAAGAGTTTCTCTTCATTCTCTATTTCATAGCCACAGAGTGAGGAGAGATATCCAAAGCGAGGAGAAAAAGCAGTTGTCACCGTAATAGGTGTTCGTATTTCAGGATTTCCCTTCCTTTTCCAGTTCCAAGTACAACAGTACAGTTTTAAATTACCCATCATTTTCCGGCCTAGAGGAATAGTCGTCATAACAAATGGAGAGTAAATCTCCCCGGTGAGGACACGGCAATAAATCTATCCAGAGTTAAAGAAAAACCATGTTCGCTTTAGATTCACTTTAATACCTAAACGAAAAATATCTATACAGCCGTCTTCTAAGCACTATGCTTCTCTGTCTCTACAGGCTATATGTACAGAGGCCGGCCTGATGGCCCTACGTGAGAGGAGGATGAAGGTCACCAATGAAGATTTTAAGAAATCAAAAGAAAATGTCTTGTACAAGAAACAAGAAGGCACTCCGGAGGGCCTCTATCTCTAACCTTCTTTTCTGTATGTATTTTTTTTTTTTTTTTCATTGGGTAGGGGAAAATATTAATGTTTGTTTAACTTTGGGCCCTCTAGATGCTGGAATTGGCCTTTGTTCTCCCTTTGGCAAAAGGGTCTATTCATTGCTTGGCAGATGTGTGACAGGACACCTGAAATATACCAGAATGGCATTTGGCACTGGAGGGTGCTAAATAAAACTGTATAAACACAGAACAATGGATTACTGTAATTTGTGTGTTTTACAGACTTTTGTGATCTGCATTCTGTGACATTTAGCCCTGGTTCACACTGAATGTGGCTAAAATCACGTTAGTTCACGTGAAGTAGTGCGATTTGTACCTCCGATTTCACTGCGGCTTGCAACTTCATTTAACAGATGTCAATGCAAATCGCAATGAAATTGGAAAAAAAAGTAGTGCAGAAACTATTTTTTAAATTTTTCTACGTCAAATCACACTGATTTAAGACCGTGCCATAGAAATACATTAGATGCAACTTCAGGTGCAATTTGTAGATCGTCTGTCGCACCTGAAGTCTCACCGCTGTGAACCAGGGTGAAGTCTGCTAGTTCAGCACTTCCTGTTTTAGGAAGACAGCACACTGTCCTGGTCTCCCAACTGTGTTTCTGCGGTGTCACATGGTCTTCTGATGGAGAGGAAAAGCGCCCCTTCAACGAAACATTAGGCAAGTATCTCCGTGTCATATGGGTTACGAATGCATGCTACAACACACACATTATGCAGACATTATCTGCTGTTGTCAGGAACCGAAACCTGGCCTGGAAAATACCAAGAAGCAATAGTGGGAAAGCATGTAGACAGGAAGTGGCCGGCAAAAAGGCTACAGGGGATCAGCAGCACTGAGATGCAACAAAGGATAAAAAATTGTCAATTATGTAGAAACTTTTTTTTTTTTTTTGTTTTTTGTTTTGTTTATAGCACTAAGAGCAAAAGAAAAGATAGTCAAGTGACAACATAGTATACAGAATTTGTGAATGTGTACATTTTTTATTTAGAATGACAATTCCCGAAATAAAATTAATACCGATTATAAGAAATTTATACCAGGCAAATTATATCCCACTAATAAATGAGATAAAGGAGGAATTGAGGAAAACTTCTACGGGAAAGCAGCCCTGGATAGGTTGGATAAATATAATTAAGATGATAATAGTATCAAAAGTTTTATCTAAAGTTAATTTGCTCCCAGTATCTCTTCCAGGATCGTTTTTTAGTTGTCTTAAAAAAATTATACTCAGATATGTGTGGGTTAATAGAAAACCAAGAGTTAAATATGAAGTTTTAAGCATAAACAAAAAAATAAAGGGGGATTAAATATGCCAGATTTCAAGAGATACTATAACTGTGTTCTTATCATGAATTGTAGAGTGGATATATAATGCACAGGGGCGACGTTGGGTAAAAAGGGAGCGTTCACTTAGTAAAGCACCATTAGATAAGTATATTTGAATACCACAGGAATTTTGCAGGTGGGATGAGGATACAAGTTCTTTGACACAGAATGTGTTTAAGATTTGAGAACTACATTTTTTTTTTTCCGCCCAGGAATAATAATATCTCAGGGAAATGGATTATTAATAGAAATGCACATTTAAAAGATATAGTGAATAAAGAGGTGGTATGTTCTATGTATGATTTGAGAAATAAGAAGGAAATATTTTCTACACTAGATGAGTGGCAGTATGGTCAAATAAGACCTTTTTGTTTCAAAGCTCCCACAACCACTAAGGACCGAGGAAGAGATGTATCCTTTGGAACAACTGTTGAGTACAAATGGAACAGCAAAACACACGATCTCTAGGCTTTATAGAAATAGAGGGATCAGTATCTCAAACATTCTCAAAAAGTGGGAAACGGAGCTTGGAACAAAATTGAATGAGCAACAAAAAAGTAAAATGTTTAGTTTAATACATGAAGCGGTGAATCTGAATATAGTGGAAATTAATTATAAATGTCTGGTAAGATGGTATATTACTCTTAATGTGAACAAAAACTAAGGCCAGAGATCTCATCCCAGTGCTGGAGGGCATGTGGGAGTAAAGGTACAATGGCACATTTCTGGTGGGACTGCCCCAAAATACAGGAGTTTTGGAGGGAGATGGTGTTATGCATACAAGAGATTCTGAGGACTAGTGTACAGATAGATCCGTGGGTCTGCCTATTTCATAAATTAGAGCTGTCGTGAAGCAATATAAAAATATGATATTGTTCCATCTTTTATATTTCAATGGTTTTTATTAATTTTTAAACATTATAAAACAGGCAATAAAACTCGCCCACACAGGGGCTATCAATTGCACAAAAAAAAAAAAGCAAAATAAAAGGAAAACAGTGCTCTAACGCCAACAGGGCAAAAGGTACACCCACGCAGGGGCTATCAATGGCACATAAGGTACAAAACATTAATGCAACTGACTCTAACAACTAAAGGCAGCTGTCCAGTCACACCAAAAAACAGAGAGAGAGAGAGAAAGGGGGAAAGAAAAAAAAAAAAGGACAAAAAGCAGGGGTCCAAGAGCGCAAGTATCGAACGCCATTACATCCCCAGGCTAGCCGGGGGGAGTGTGGGAAAAGCATATTGCAAGCACGGCTCCCATATTTTTAAAAATTTACTGTGGGAGTCGTTGCGGATACTCGATATCTGCTCGTTGAGCATCATAGTAGTCATACGATCCCGCACCCCCTGAAGAGGGACAAACAGACTCTTCCAGGCCTGGGCAATTTGTTCTAGTGGCCAACAAAAACAAATAAGAAGCCAACTTCTGCTGGTGAGCCAAGAGGCCCGGTATGGGGCAATGAAGCAAGACATACCGGGCATCCCAGTGTATGGAGAGATGGAACAAGGTGAAAAGGAGGCCAAAAACACGAGACCAAAAACGAAACAGTCTCGGGCATGACCACCAGATGTGCAAGACATCTCCACGATGGCCACAACTCTGAAAACATTGATCACTAAAGGCAGGGTTAGCCCGGGCCAACCAAGCCGGGACCCAATACCACCGAAACAATACCATATAGGCTGCCTCCAGTGTGGTCGTATTAAATGAGCATTTAGCTATGAATGACCCAGCCTTATTCCAGTCCTCTGGATCCACAGCCACTCCCAGATCGCGCTCCCACTAAACAACATATGAAAGAGAAGTATGCGACGAGCGTCTGTTTAGAGCTGCATAAAGAAGGGATATAAGGCCCGGACGCTGTTGGCAAAGCTGGTCAAAGGCAGATTTGTTCCATCTTTTAAATGCAGCAAAAGGCCTCATTCTTAAATATTGGCAAACAGAAGCCCCAAAAATAAAGGATTGGTTGGAAAGAGTTCAGTATAAACATAGGATGGATAAAGTATACCATATAGATGAGGATAAAATGGAAACCTTTTAAAAGATCTGGGAAAGATGGTATGTCTTCAAAAAAATCTATTTGATTTTTAGAAGTGGTTGGAGTGTAGGAGAATAAAGAAAATAAATAAGGAGATGGGTAAAACAGAAAGGGAAAAGATGGGGAGGAGATAAATAAGATTAACAAAAGAAGATCAAGAAGTAAACGGAAGGACATTGGGCAAGGGAGGGGGGGGGAATAAAGATGGGATTTTAATTAAGTATAGATTTTTGTATCATAAAATTATTTGTAATGGATTTGTGTGATAAAAAAATTAATAAAGATATAATATTTAAAAAAAAAAAATTCTCAACACTCTAATCCTAGTTTTGAAATGGTACTGTGGGAGCGATATAATACTTGCAAATCTGTATATATCTTGCGAGCCAAATAGTATGTGGCAAATAGCCACCTTGTGGCACAACTCGGGACAAAAATATATGTCCTTGATATTACTGGATCGCAAACACCCAACACATAACTACCACTGTGTACACAAATTATTTCATCATCTTGTGTTGCGCTCCTTATTAAATTATAGTGACAAAGTGAATATTATATTTCATAATGTTACCTGAACATAAATAATCATAAATTCATATATAGAATAATAACTTATAAAAAAGTATAATATTAATCCATATTCGTGATTAAATAAATAATGATTAATTGTGAATCATAATTTAGTGAAAAAATATAAAAATTACCGTGAATAAATACTCATAAAATAAATAAATTAATTTTTAGTGCAAAAGCATAGTCCCATTAATCATAAAAATATATATAAAGTGACTCTGTGTCCTAAAAATCTTGAATCCGTGACTGATTGTGAATCCGTGATAAAAATATTTGTGAATCCTCCAATTAGTGCAGATGTAAGCTCACCTCCTGATATGCCTGCAATTAGGCTATATACACTTTTGGTCCACCTCCTTTGGGACCTGCTTGTTAGAATTTTCTCCTCTTTAAATTACGGAGCAGGAATATCCTTTAGAGCTGATTATCCTCTCTGGGGTTAATCACTCCTCACAGTGATACAGACCCCTATACTCTCCTCTCCATGCGTTTCTCCACATGCAGAAAACAAATGCCAGACATAGTGTTTTATCTTTTTAAAACACTGCTTTATTCCTTCCAAGTAGTACACTCACATATAGTGAAGACGGTATGCGGCAATCCAAAATGTAGCGTGTCCTCCGCCGACCATTGAGTCATGCACCTGCCGTCCGTGTAGTATTCCGGCTCTCTCCGAGTGACGTTGCAGCCCCACCCCTACGCGTTACGCCACTGGTCACGTGGCTTCATCAATACCCCCTGATGAAGCCACGTGACCAGTGGCGTAACGTGTCATTTACAATTGCTGTGAGGAAATTCTTGGTACCGGAGAGAGAATAGAAGGAACCAGGTAATAAAAGACTGCTGGAGAACATGAAGAGAAGAATTAAGAGTACCATTTTTAACGACACTGATTGAGCGGGCAAGTACTACACTGAAAAAATTTGCAAATGTTTAGGGAAATCAAAGTATGTAGACTCTTACATTTCCACAGCTCCCAGACTGTATTGTATTGTTCAAGAGAGTCATGAAGACATGCATT